AAAAAAAAAAAGAAGAAGAAACTCTCCAGTGTAGTTCTGCTCTGTCCTATGGGGTCACTATGAGTCAAAATCGACTCAGAGGCAGTGGATTTTGTGTCTGATTTTCACACACTGTGTAAAATACTAACACAAAAAATATTGTGAATACTTCAAAATCCTGAAATAAAGTATAAGCACTTAGAAGGATACTGAATGTAAAAGCTTTCAAAGGCTGCATTGATGCATTTCTGTTTTGTTTTACATAACTATGTATGCAAAGGATAACAGAACTACCTCCCAGATAGATTGTAAACCAAACCACTAAAGACGACAAAACCACCTTTTTCTTATCTTTAAGTATTACAATACCCTCATGCAAGTGTGAAAAATGACTAAAGATTAATATACTTAAGGAAACATACAGCTTTTGGAAAATAAAATTTCTATATATTCTATGATAAAGCTGATTAAAACTTATAGATTTCTTTATAGATAACTACATTTTAATAAATATAATTTCCTTAGAATGTATTAACTAGTACGAAATGAGACTTTAACTTGATTATTTCAAGAGTATAGGCATTTTTATGAAGCCCATTTGTTGAGAGTTTCTCTTTTTCTTTGGTTTATGGTGCCTTTAAAATATCATTTATTAGTTTTAATATACTATGTTAGAATTTCACTGATCTGTATGTCAAATTTTGTGACTGCACCACGTTTTCAATTATTGTAATTTTATTAATAATATTTATTAATAGCTAGCCAAGCTACTTTTTCTTGTTTTTTTTTTTTTCTTCCAGATTAACTTTAGAAATAAAATATTCCCAGGGTGGGTCCAGTTGGGATTATGACCAGAAAGTTATTAATCCTAAGAAATTATTTAGAAAGAACATGCATCTTTAAAGTACTTAGACATCCCAATCAGCATCATGAAATGAACCTTACTTACATCTTCCTCTGTGCTACTCATAAAGTTCTGTGGCTTTCTTCCTGCAGGCACCCACATTTCTTGTTACCAAAATCCAAACTCACTGCCGTCAAGTTAATTCTGACTCATAACGAACCCCCGCCCTTGGGTTTCTGAGGCAGTAAATCTTTACGGAAGCAGATTACCCAGTCTTCCTTCCGTGGAGTAGCTGGTAGGTTTGAACTGCCAACCTTCTAGTTAGCAGTCAAATGCCTTAGGCACTACGCCACCAGAGCTCCACATTTCTTGTTAGTTACTCTTAAATTACATTTTCTGTTTTTATTTCAGAATGAGAATTACTTTTCATTCATATTTTCTAACTATTTTTGGTACAGTATAAAATGATTCTATGTTAATCTCCTATCTAGCTAATTTTGACTTCTCTTATTGATTCTTGGTGATTCTTATAAACAAGAAATGGATTATTCACCAAATGATATTAGAAAATGTATGGGTAGGGGAGGGACTCATGTTAGATACTCACCTATCTGATGTATTTTGGCATACACCAAAATAAATTCCAAACTGACTACAGAGTTAACAGTTAAAAAAATAAACAAAACCTGAGAAAAGTAGAGTTGAAAATTTAACTATTTAAGGATGAATAAAGAGTTACTCAGGATGATAGCAACGGCAAAAGCTCCCCTAAAACATAAACATTTAGCTATATTAAATTCAATATTTCTGAATGACCAAAGAAAAGTATATCTATATATTTGGGTATAAATTTGGAACAAATAACAGTTAATTAGTTAAAATCCTGACTATAATAAAAAGCTCATATATCAATAAAAGAAACACTAATACCCAATAGGAATATGGGTAGATAGAATAAAATGAATGAATAGATAATTCATAGATGAAGATATCAAATGGCCAATAAACATATAAAACATTCAACTTCACCATCAAATTCGAATTAAAATGACAGAGAGATAGCGCGTTTGTGGCCTATTTAACTACCAATGAGACTGAAAGCTCAAGCATGTCTGACAGAAGTACGAGCGTTACAACCTTTCTGGAAAGCAAGTTAGTAATCTGCATGAAAGGCTTAGAAGTGTCCAAAGTGTGAATATTTACTTGTGAAATAATCAAAAGTATAGGCAAAAAATTATATATAAAAATAACCATTATGTTATTATTTATGATAACAGCTGGAAGCAACTGTAATATCTCCAAATAATGAAATAGTTAAATATTTTGTGGTACACATTTAAGATAGAATATTTGTATAGCGATTTAAAACATATTTCTAAAGAATTCTAATGGCATGAAAAAAAGCTTATGATATTAATTGGAAATACGAGCATACAAAATTATATATATAGAATGATTCCAATTGCATAGATATATAAAATATACACGCATAGGGAAAAAAGGAATAAAACAATGAAATGTTAACAATGACTATGTCTGTGGGAGAGGATGATGGATACTTTGTATTTCATTTTTTATATTTTAAGGAATTTTTCAGATGTTCTATAGTGAACATATCGTTACTTTTATAAGAAAACACATGCAAAAAAAATGTCATTTTAAACAAAACAGTTAGTAGAAACTTCAAAAATATGCCATCATATGATGTAACAAAAAATTCAGAAATACAATGCAAAAAAACCCCAAACAATTTTAAAAAACAATAGGTTTTTCTTATATATGAACAACAAAAGGTATTAACTTTTTTATAACTTGAAATATTCTTCACATGACCAAGACCAGTAAAAGACTTGTAAAACAAAGATAGTAATAGCTAACTACTGATGGTTTACTCAAAAAGAAAACCTTTATCTAGTAAATTACAGCAGAAAGTTTCGATTAAAGTGCTTACCTTTCTCACTTACACTCTCACTTTCAATCTCAACATCATCACAGCTTGTGTACTCAGGCGTGGAAGCTAATTCCTCCTCTGAACTGCTCAATGAAACCTGGCGCATTTTACCTCCTTTCTTTGATTTATGAGGCTTTGGTGGTGGAGGTCTTACTGACTCTGACTGGTCTGAACTGAGAGAATCATTCCTTAACATTGTTTCCATCTTTTCCCGTTTCGTTTTCCTTACAGCAGAGCTAGGATCTAAGTGTTGCTGTTTCCTCGATGAGTCAGTGCGTCTCAAGTCTGGTCTATCGATGGGTACTGGACTCCTCCGGGGGGTGGGAGGACTATGGTTTGTGGTCCTTTGTGGATAAGAACCTGGTCCCTGAGCCTCTCGAGTTCTTTCCATTGAATAAGATCGCTGACTTTCCATAGCAGCTCTCCGTTCAGATATAGATCTTTGCCTTGATGGTCGTTCCATCCTCAGCATAGAAATCCTGGAATCTTCTAATTCTGCATTTGCCAGAGAAACATCACTATGTCTCCTTTCATGCCGTGCTCGGGATACTTCAGCATGAATACGCATTTGCTCTTCATAAGGCTGGGGCTTTACTGGATACCGGGCCAAATTTGGATCACTTCTGTAGCGTGCCTGGTACTCCTCCTCTCTCCTTTGTCTTTCATATTCATCTCTGCTCTCCACATCCTCCTCCTCGTCTACAATATACTCTTTGGAACGCCTATGACTTCTCCTGTTGGAGTCCCTATAACTTACAGGATCAGATTCTTCATAAAACTGAGGTTCATGTTGAGATCGCCTATCAGCATAATCTGATGGAGATCTAGGCATTGCGCTATCTGAACTAGCATACTGTGAGTATTCCTCTCTTTCTTCCCTTTGGTCGTATCTTCTATTCTGATCTCTGGTCACTGATGGACTTCTTTTCCTAATAACCAAAGGAAAAGAAAGGTAAGAGGAGAAACATTTAAACAACTTAACATTTTACTAATTCCCTGGCAGGCTTTGGATAAATTCAAATAGTTCTTTTGCTTCTTTTTTCCTTATTTCATTTTAAAGACATGCCATACCACAAGATTTATAAGTATTCATATGATTTAGTTCAAATAATCAATTGAAAAGGTGCTTTTGCAGTAGTTACTAAACATTTGACACACTATATATGAAACATACTTATGCTCTGAAATTATTTAATCACTATCATATTCAGCTGTTGCAAAACAGCCTTCATTCTTACCTCCTTGTGTGTCTTACTTCAGCTATCCCCCAACTGTTACTCAGTAGCCTAGAAATATCCTTCCTTCCATTCCCTCTCTTCCTGACACCTGGCTATGAAAGTTATTTGAAAATGACGAAGCCAAACTGATTTGGCTCAATAATTGAATACTTTCTGACTAAAGTAAAACAGGCTCTAAAAAATTCATCATTTTTCATTCAGCAACTATGGAGATCACTCTCAGCTTTGGTTCATTCCAATCTTCATCGTACCATTATGTCTCCAATCCTTCTACACTGCTCTAAATTGAGATAAGCAATTTAAATAATTACCATTTTCATTTTATGGATTACAAAGTGATTTGTTCATCACCACTACCTTAGAATTCAGACAGGACTGCTATATTTATTCCAACTTCATTAAAGTTAAGGCCAACTTCGTGACACTTCTCCACTTAGTCTCAACATCTGACCCCTCTTATTCCCTTCCAGTCTAAGAGATGGCTTCTTAAACTCTCAAAATGTCTCAATAACACTGGTACAACCTATACCTGGACCTTGCAATCACACGTAATACTATTATTTGACAACAAGAGATTCACACTGTCCTCTTCTCTGGTATAAACTGAAATAATATCAACTACTAGCCACAGGAAGCAATGGGATTGGAATCCTGAAGATGATAGAACAGAATTAAAATAACTACCATGAGGATTTTGCCAGGACATAATGAGGAAGTAAGATTTGCTGAAGTGTTAAAAATGACCAAGATTAGACAGTTCAGTTGTGAATTTCTTAGACAACATTATTTTGGCCCAAAAGCAGAAGCAGAGAAAGAACATGGTAAAATGACCCACGTCAACAAGATGATCACTCTCTTTTAAATTCTCCTCTGTGTCACCAAATCCCTTTTCCCCATACCCGGAATACAGTCTGCCAATGTATCAATAATCAACATTCATTAATGAAAGTAGAAGTCACTCTAGGTTTTCCAGGTAGGGAGGGTTTTAATATGGGAATCAGAGGCTACATAACTGTTGGAATGGCTAGGAGAATGAAGGCCAGGAAAATTAATGCTGCTGAAGTAAAGGTAGGGATATTCAAAATAACCATTTGAAAGATACCTGAATCTCAAGAGTCACAGGCAAGTTGCCACCAATTACTTCAGCTGCTTAAAGTATTGGGGTGATCAATTAACAGAAGCTTGCCCAAGAGCCACTAGACTTTCACATTTGTCCATTTGTCTCCTTACAACTACTGCTTGACAATAATAACTTCTCTTTCTCTTTCACTTTCAAATTGTAAACCAACACAGCCCATGGACTCTAAACTCGAACCACAAAGGGAAAAGACTCAAAAACTCACTGCCATCAAGTCAAATCTGACTCATACTGACCCCTCCCTCCTTGGGTTTCCAAGGCGGTATCACCACAGAAGTAGATTACCCCATCTTCCTTCTGAGGAGTGGCTGGTGGGTTTGAACCACCAGTCTTCTGGTTAGCCGTCAAATGCCTTAGGCACTACGCTACCAGAGCTCCCAAAGGGAAAGGAGTATTGTAATAAATAAAGGAACTGATCTGCTCCCCTAAATGTCTTATGATTAAATGTGTTGTTGTTGTTATGTGCCATTGAGTCGGCCCCGACTCATAGTGACCCCAACTTGGATTTCTGAGGCAATATCACTATGGAAGTAGATTGCCCAACCTTCCTTCCGAGGAGTAGCTGGTGAGTTTGAACTGCCAGCCTACTGGATAGCAGTCAAGAGCCTTAGGCACTATGTTACCAGAGCTCCTTATGATTAAATAAGTGGATATAATTTCTTAGATTTTTTTTACATTTAAAGCTATAATGCTTTTTAAAAATTATGACTTAACATAAATCTTTTAGGTTACAATTGTTACATAAAACCATTGACTCCTACAGCTAAAAATGTACAATCAAAGCAAGGCACTCAAATACTAAATTATTAACCTATACAAAATCCTATATAGAGAGAACATATATGCATGTACATGTTATGCATCACTCATTTTGCTTTTATTATTATTTTTAGACACATGACAAACAGAAAATACTCCAGCATGGTAGCAGAATGTCACATAAAGAATACCAGAATTAGGGGATCTGATATTTTACCTTAATTTTTGCCATAATCAGTTATTTGAAGCTATGAAAGTCATTTACTCTTTGGGAGTCTATGCTTTAAAATAAGAGGCAAAGATCATATACATTAAGTCACTCATTATTTAACAAACATCTATTAGGTAAGAACTACATGCCACACACTATAACATAGCATAGGAATACAGACAGAATAAAACATGATCCGTGATCTTAGGAAGCTGAATGATTCATAGAGTCTATGATCTTATAGGGAGCTCTGGTGGCATAATGTCTAAGGCATCTGACTACCAACCAGAAGGCTGGAGGTTCAACCCCACCAGCCACTCCTCGGAAGGAAGATGGGGCAATCTACTTCCGTAGTGATACCGCCTTGGAAACCCAAGGAGGGGTTGCTATGAGTTGTATCTGACTCAACAGCAGTGAGTTTGTTTTGTTTTTTTAATGATCTTATAATACTGATACCACACCTTCATGAAGTCAATATTCCTAAATAAAATCTCAACAAAAAAAAAATAACCTAATTCTGAAATGGTACATCTGAGCTGAGAATTAAATAATTATGTTTACATTGAGTGCAGCCCCAAAAATATAAAATATACAACAGTGGAAATGAAAGAGTACTCTAATTAAGTGACTATTATTATCATTACTTTTTATTACTCTAAGTAACTTTTATAAAATATAAATCTCCTAAATCCTTAATTGTTGTTTTATTAAACCAAGTATTTTTCCAAGATAATTCATCTCAAGGACCCATCTAAAAGCAGCTCACTTAGCCCACACATCCTTCCCTTTCAAAAGATTTCACACTCCTAAACTGTCTATCTTCCTTCCATCCCAATGAAAATTCCAATTCTCCATTATACCCAATCTCAGTTGAGAGACAAAAGAATAATAAGCAGATTAAATCAGAGTGAATGGGTGCTAGTTTACTAACACTCTCAAAAATACTTGCCCACCTTAAGAGGATGTTTGTTAATAGAAATAAATCATGTGGAACTTAAGGCCAGACTTCAAAGTGTAATGACGGGGAATAGGGTATTTTGGAGGCAATTCACTTAAGAGTGTTCTTTTCCACTACACTCCCTCCCCAGGTGATCGTAATCCATTTCTAAGCAGAAGTGTCTTTATTACTCTTTAAAGTGTTAGGTTTCATAAGGACAGGGACCCTGAATCTGAACAGGATGGTATTTAGTAAGTGCTCAATAAGCATCTGTTGAATGAGTGAAATGATTAATTAATTATTCCTTAGATTATTTCTATTTTTCATGTTTTTTTCTTCTATATACAAACACACTGATTTGCTAAAATAGTCCATTTCTTCCCCCCTCAACTACTCCTGGGAGCTCTGGTAGCGTAGTACCTAAGGCATTTGACTGCTAACCAGAAGGCTGGCGGTTCAAATCCACCAGCCACTCCTCAGAAGGAAGATTGGGCAATCTACTTCGGTAGTGATACTGCCTCAGAAACCCAAGGAGGGGTCGCTATGAGTTGGGTCCAACTCGACGGCAGTGAGTTAGTTGAGGCAACTACTCCCATGATAGTCACAACACATTAAGTAGAAAAAGAACCTACTTTTATTAGTAGTGTAAATTTCCAGGTTGACTAATTTGGCTTTTGTACTTGGACTTAAAAATCTAACTAAACTCCATTGCTGGCAAGTTGATCCCAAATCCTAATGACCCACAGGACAGAGGAGAACTGCCTCATACGGTTTGCAAGGCTGTAATCTTTACAGAACTCATGCTGCATTGTAATTAACTCAATGGCAGTGGATTTTGGGGTTTTGTTGTTGTGGTGGTGGTTGCTGTTTTACAGAAGCAGACTGCCACATCTTCCTACTGTGAAACAGCTGTTGGATTCGAACTGTCAGCTTTTCGATTAGCAGCCAAGTGGTTAATCATTGTGCCACCAGGGCTTCTTTCAGAATCCAACTACTGTTTATAAAATTACTTCTTTAAGAAAATATATTTTGACTAGCAATCACTTTACAATTAAACTTTTGAAACAAAACTTCTTAATTAAGGAGTTCCAGTTATATATTCAACATCACACTGGGTCTAAACTATACTCACTGCCATCGAGTTAGTTCCGACTCATAGTGACCCCTCCTCAGATTTCCAAGGCAGTATCTCTATGGAAGTAGATTGCCCAGTCTTCCTTCCAAGGAGTAGCTCGTAGGTTTGAACTGCCAGCCTTCTGGTTAGCAGTCAAATGCCTTAAGTACTATACCACCAGAGCTCCCTCACGCTGGGTAGGTCACAAGCTAATTTAAAAAAAAAAAAAAGGAAAACTTCATTCTTACTCTCAAAACCTAAAACCCACCACCATCAAGTCAATTCTGACTCATGGTGACCCCATAGGACAGAGTGGAATTGTCCTATAGGATTCCCAAAGCTATAAATCTTTACAATTCGTGCTGGGTAAATCTGCTGCAAAAGATATCTTTTAGGTGTTAAAGATCTAAGAGGTCATTTTGAAGACTGAGGTGTGCCTAACCCAAGCCATGATATCTTCAACCACCTCATACGCATGTGAAAGCTGGACAGTGAATAAGGAAGACTGAAGAAAAGTTGATCATTTTGAATT